TTTTCATGCGGATATCTGACATTAAAAAAGCTTCTCCATGCTCCGTCACAACTCAGCATCCACGCGGCAGCAAGGTCCCAGAGATCGTTAAAAGCTGTTCTGAACGTGTACCCTAGCCTGACTCCCTGGCAGCAGCACTGCTGGTCAAAGCACATCAGTCCACCTTTGAGGTGCTGGAGCTCGTGACGGGTCTAGAAGAGGCCGAGCTGAAGCCGGATTCGATACATTTCAACACAGCAATAGCAGCAGTAGCAAGGGCTGGCCACTGGACCATGGCTTTCGAGATGTTGCATGCCATGTTTGACAGGGACCTGCAACTCGATGCGTTTTCGTATTGCTCCACCATCAGCGCATGCGAGAAAGCAAGCGTTTGGATCATGGCCCTTGGCGTCTTGACAGAGATGATAGAGTCCAATCTTGGCCGAAGTACGATTGCATTCAGCTCTTCCATCAGTGCGTGTGAGAAAAGTACTCATTGGACAGCGGCACTGCAACTCCTAGCAGCCATGGCTTGCGACACCGTGCAGCGCAACACCATTACTTTTAACTCCGCGATCACCGCATGCAGCAGGGCCCAGCGGTGGCAACTCGTTGCGCAGCTTTTGTCGGACATGTCTAGAGACCAGCTGCCACGGGACACCATCACATACAGTGCTGTTATCAGTGCTTGCGATAAAGCGAAGCGGTGGCTGCTAGCCCTCGACTTTTTCCGAAATATGGAAGTTGCGCAGATCCGTAAGAATACAGTAACAGTCAACGCAATGCTGAGCGCCTGTGGGAAAGGTTTTGCTTGGGAAACTGCGTTGTACATCCTGAAGGAGATGACCGTGCCGGCAACCCACATCACCTACGCCAGCATTCTCAGCAGTTGCGGGCATCAAGTCAAATGGGAGCACACGCTCGCCTTGACGCGTGAAGCCGTTAGCCTTACTTGACCTTTAAGCTGCTAGCTGCAACTCCTGTAAACGACAGTACAACCCAGAACTCTAACCTGGAACCCTAGAGCTGCCAGGATCAAGACAATGGCTCAGTCGTGTTTCATGGCAAACGGAGTGGAGGCAGGCTCCGCCCTAGCTGCCCTGCAAGGCGTCTTGGGATTCGAGCGTGCTGCTGATATGCTCAAGGCTCTTCGAGGCACATGCATCGCATCGCCACGAAAAGCGTTTCAGGACTGCGCATGTCGTAGTCTTTGCAGCACTCGTTTTGCAGGTGCTTACTTCGGCTCTAGCGGATGGCAAGATACTTTTGGATGTTCTCGTCATGGTGCCGCTTTCGGGCCGATTGCCGAGATGAGCGAATACCGAGAAGACTTCAGAGCAGAGAGGAAGCCGCCTGGGCTGCCTTCATTGACACTGCTGTACCGGTCCAGTGGCCTCGTCGCTGTCTCCAAGCCTGCGGGCTTCTCCACCGAAGATGTGCTTCGCTGCTTGTCTGCGAAGCTGAAGACCAGAATTACACAAGTCTCCCGCTTGGACCTGCCCACGTCTGGCGTGCTGCTTGCAGCAGTTGGCAGCGCAACTAGCCCCCAAGCCTGGTGGCTTTTGGCACAGTTTGCTGGGCGCCTGATATCAAAAACCTATTTGTGCTTGTGCTTTGGTAAAGCACCAGCTGGAGCAGAAAGGGAAGTTTCCAGTCCACTGCTGACCACTCACTCTAAATCTGGCAAGTCCGGATACAGCCGGACACAGGCCGGGCCTTACAAAGATGCTCGGGAGCTACTGGGTTGGACAGGGTGTAACACGAGCTGTGTCGCACCTTTGCTTTGTGCCTCTGCGTTTCTGCACTTCAGGTATCTCCATCCGGTTTGCCATCAAAGACTCGCTACAAGGTTTTGGCTACGTTCGCAAGGCAGCATCTGCTCGAAGAAGGACTGGTCTCACTCCAAGATTGCAGTACGGTCATCAGCCCCGTCTTGCAGGAGTCTGTTTGCTAAAGGTGTGGCCTGTGACCGGAAGGAGCATATGCGCTTTCTGGGGCATGCTTGCATATAAGGGTTTTGCCTTGCTGCCGGGCGAACGAGCGCTCTTGCTCTGAGGACTCACCAAATCCGGGCTCACTTGGCCAGCGTTTGGAGCTCACATGGTCTGGCTTTATGATTTACATTGAGTGTTGCCACGAGCAATACCAAATCCGAAGTCAAGAGTCAGGAATGTAGCAGTGCTTCCACAGCATGTTCAGGTGGGCTTGCCTTTGGTGGGCGACGACAAATATTGCGAGGCCTCCCCCTTCCTGTGATCCGCTTGTCCGCAGTAAGACAGCTGCAACATGATGCGACTGGAGGCAAGTGACGCCTCCATGGAAGGCGGGAAGTCACAGCGCGTTCAATTTCGACATTTGCAGTGGCTGGGGCGGGTCTCGCTCGTGCCAGAAGGCCTTGCTAAGCAGCGCGCGTGGCGTCCTCAGAGCTTCTGTTTGGAGAGCAAGGCTGAGAGCTTGTTGATGCCTTGCTGAGGCTTGCCATTTCGCAGTGGTGCCCCACGCTGTTCCTGCACTGCTGGGAGCTACGCTTCTTAGGCCTTCCGCCGCGAACAGATTACAGATGTTCACCTGGACCCAAGTGCACATGCACAACTTCCTGACAGGTCTGGACGAACAGCCACTCAGCGTCCGTGCGGACCTGCCGAATACATTGCGACAAGCCCTTGAAAGTCTGTCAATTCGCAGTGGCACCGTGCCACCCGAAGTTTGGAAGTGCATGGAAAATGGCATGTTGCAGCTCGCTTTGGTGCTTGGATGTGTTTGGCACTCTTGCATGCTCTTGCCTCTCTGGGCCTATCTGCGGCCATTCTGTTGCTGTAGGACCTTGGTGGCACTGGAAAGCGAGAGGTCGATCCTGCAGAAAGCTCAGCGTGGCTTGCAGTCGAGCACGGCACGGCACGGCCTGGCACGTCCTTGGACTTAGGATGACCAGGAGCACGTGAAGACACTTCTTACGAGCCCCGACCTCGGGCCCAGGAGTTGTATGAGTTTGTTTGGAGTATATAGAGCACAAAGATGGTCTTTTTCGCGTTGTCCCATGCCCGGCGAAACCGATAGTAGCCCACAGCTCCAGGATCCATACCTGACACTGGGTGGGCTGGAGAACCAGTGTACACCATGACGGGAACAGCTATGCTGCCTCCACTGCGACTCTGGAGGGGGATGGAGGAGGGAGAGGGCCAAAATCCGACACGATCCTGCAAAAGCACACCGTCGGCGCCTATTACCAATGAGGAGGAGCAGCAGAGACCGAGGGGATATCCCCACAGCTGCGAAAACCACCGGCACACCGTGCTGCGACTGAATCTCCTCTGATCCTGCCATGCGGGTGTGGCAACTCCCCACAAGCACGGCGCATCACGGCGCCTACATGCCCGGGTGCCCACCTACACTTCTAGCCCGTCAGAAGAACAAGAGAGTTCAGAGGGCTCAGCACGGTTTGCAGACATCGCCCCCTCTCGATGGGCAACGAAAAAAGACCCGAGCATACCCGAGCACATGCTTTCGCGGCACTTCTGAACTTTGCCCCCGCCTGTTCTGATCAGTTCTGCCAGTGAGGTGCACGCAGTATTCTACGCTACAAAGGTCAAGTTGTGACGGCATTGACTATTGGCTGTAGTGCGCTAAGTTGTATTAGATGCTTTCGAGTCTGAGGTTGTCATTGATCTCCGTCAGAACTGACGCGGACCTTCCTGCCAAATGCGAATCTCATGCATGCTGGCGTTCCCCCCGACCTACAGCATCAAGAACAAGTTGTAACGAGCACTCCACCTGAAGCCACGCTGTATGAACCATGGGGATCCCCTCGTAAAGGTACTGGCTAGGGGTGGGTTACCCCAACCGTACGACCTATTTCCGGTACATTTCCGGAAGAGGGCCGGGGGGGATATAAAGAGATACCGGGGGGATACGGGGACAGCGACTTGACTCGAGACCATCCATGAGTTCTTGCCTCTAGCTTTGTGGCGGGGGCATTAGATTGCGACTTGACTCGACACCCTCCAGGATTTATTGCGTTTACAGGTAGCTTGGAGACACCCTCTTGCTGTAATGTAATTTTTTCAACTCTTCGGACCCCTCTGTTTTCCTGGTCTGATCGGGTTAAACATGGAGTTGTGTAAGTGCCACACAGTCACATCTACGATCCGTGTTTTTTCAGTTTAGTGAATTCAGACACGGTCTTGCTCTAATGCAGTTTTTCTCAAGTATCGCAGAATGCAAGATTTCAACTCTCTCTCTCGTTCCTTTGCTCTCTTTCCTCGCAATCGCTTCAAGCAAGAGATGCAGAGAGAGAAACAGAGAGCGCGCGGGCGCAGGGGGCAACTCCTGTGCCCACAGCCCTGGCGAAAGAAAGAGCGACAGAGGGACAGGCAGACCGCACAGCACATCACAATACAGCTGTAGCAGTTATATTGGCTTGTATAGTAGGAAGAGTGGACGGTAGGAATGCACCAGAATCCTGTGTATTCATACACGTCGTCTTTACCTAAGCCAGGCTACGGGGAAGCAGGGATGCGCGGATCCTCAACTCCGACTCGTCTTCTCACTGGAACCGTATCTTTCAAAGGCTCAGCGAGCCTTCTTTGGTTTAGACTCCGATTTCCCATGCTGGAGGAACCTGTGATACTTTGAAGGGTCTCCGTGTAAGCGAATGAAGCCGGAGGCCCACGCTTTGACAGGATTTGCTCATGCTTGAACAATTGTAGGACATGGACCGATATGCTATACTGGTTGACTGGTATCATCAGTAGACGGCTCAGCCCCGCCAAAGATACTTCGGAGGATCCTTACTTCAGGATCCCTAGCTTGAGATTCGCAGTTGCTAAGAAGCCCCGAGTAGCCACCACGACCTGCATGAAACTCAAACAGCTCCTGACTTTGTGAATGTTTGAGATGGAGCCCTTTTCTTCGGCACACTGTGCCATGTTGTTCTTCATCTTGGAAATCCTAAATGCTAAACTGACGAAACCCACGAATTCGACGTTGAACCTCTGCCCTGATAGCCTGACCCGTGCTCATGCGAAAGGTCTTGAGCCCGAGGGACCAGCCTGTAAATACTTCGCGATATCTGAAAATGAACCGCTGGAATCTCGCGCCAACTGCTAAAGTTAAAGCCTCGGAATCAATACCCTAAGCCCTAAACCGGAAAGTGCCTGGTAGTACACCGGCTCCACGGCCAACTGCTGTACGGAAGGCTCTTGTGACAACCTTGGCGTGAAAGTGCCCTCCCTTGTCTGAAAGATGGTGTACCATCAAGGCTTCAAGCCTAGAGTAACAACTCATGCTTCCACCCACCATACAGAGAAGCTCAACACTTGGAAAAGTGAGTAGTTCAGCTCTTGTCATGGACCCATCCCTCGAACTATATATATATATTATATATATATGTGGCTATATGTGTATATATATATATATGTATTACAACCCTGAGCAGCAAGCCATACACGACAAACCACCCAAGTCGATGTTATCTCAGCTAGATTTTGGAGTCTATGGCTTAGATTGGCATCTTCTGCAGGACTTCCTCAGATTCGGACAAATCCAAACCATAAGCCATACACCTAGGCCGCAAGAGAACAACCAGTTGGTCAGCTAGGTACCAAGCCAAACAAACTCTCAATTTGAAAGCCATACAACAGGAACGCAAAGACCCGAACAAAACCGTTTGAG